TACGTGCAACACACAAAAAAAGCCGTTGGTGAACATGAGATTGACGCGAGAGACCCAGCAGCAGCAACAGTAGCAGGCAGGGCAGACGGCTTTGCGCAGGCACAGTCAGAAGCGGGGCGCAAGTACGCAACCCGATCCCGGGCAACCATCCTGATAATGCAGTGACGTTCACGCCCTCCAAGGTTTCTCTCGATGATGGTATGCATAGGTGTGCTGTCGAATGGGGAAGGTGTGTATATGTTGTGTGTGTGTTGTGTCATCACTCTGCCGCTTGAACAGTCAGTTGGACCTACTCAACATCAATATCAAACCCGCCAGGTACATCTGGCGCATGGCTATTGTTTCGGCCGGTTCTCGATGTACGATGATGGACAATTTGAATGGTCGCGAGTTTCCGAAGGGCGTAGGCTGACATGATCGGGAATCAGACAGACCAATTTGTCGCCCGATCCAGCCTGCTAGAGGGGTCCAGGGTACATGTCCCCTGACCCCTGGGGGCAAACGCCTCTTCCGCGGTGGTTGCCCCCAGCTAGAACCAGGCGTTTACTTATCAACACCTCCCCTGAAGCGAAAATTGATGGAGCTATACCCTTGCCATTGCCACCCACTGTGAGTGCTGAACCTGATATGCTGATTATGGAGCTTGTCATGGATGGTATGTGACGCTATTGGTGTTGGAAGCCCCTTGCTAGAGAGTTTGATGCCGCTTGACGGTCCTTGCGGGTATCGGCTCCACAGTCATGGCTATGTCTGTACAGGTGAGACGTATCTCACCCGATTGGATATTGAACAACCTTATGCTTGCTAAGTGGTACACGTACGCGGAACATAGACGTCGCCGCGTGTCCCGCCTCGGCAAGAGGGGCGCCAAATCCGCTTCGCCTCAATCGCTTCCTTAACGCGTTTTTTTTTCTTCGGCGCCTAAAGACTAACCTAGCTTTAAACAAAACGGGGAGGAAGCACACCTAATTTCGGAGACGCAACGATCAGGCACGCGTCGCGTTTTGAGGCTTGGCACACCCACACACTTGCTTGGCTGACACCACCTACACACACGGTACCATTGGTGATCTCACACGCGCAGTCAGAGCGCCGTAAAAATACCTCAAGTCGGGGCGCCGCCGTAAACGTAGCAAGACCGATGTGGTCACTGCCGCCGTACAGTCGGGTGGGGCCCGTAAGCGGGGGCAGCCCGATGTTGAGCAACAACCACTTAGTTGGCTCCAGCAGCAGCTTGCCGAGTACCACCAACTGCTCAGTAATATTCACGCCGTTGTGCGTGACTTTACGGCGTTGCTGGGAGATTCCCTGCTGGAGCGCCCCCCTCAACGCCTGAAAGTCACGGACAGCAGCGCGAATGTTATTGCCAATTTGGTGGTACTCCGGTCTTGTTACGTTTACGGCGGCGCCGCGACTCGGTATTTTGACGGTGCTCTGACTGCCCGACAGGGGTACGTGTCGGCGCGGCATCACTACGAACGGTCATCGTGAACGCCGCGTTGCCGGGAGATGCATGGGTGCGATCATCTTCGTGGGCGTCGGCTGCGGCCGCTCCGCGGGCACCAGCGATTGAGGGTGGTGCCCCGTCAACCTTTGGCGTGTTCTTGTTCTGGCGTGGCGTTTGTTGGAGGTGTTACCAGGCGTGGCCAGGTTATATTACCGAGCGTGCACGCAAACACGTTGGGGTCAACAAGCAGGGGCTACTGTACCACTGCAATGATGAGGCGTGTGAACGATAAACCAATGTCATGGTGGACGGGTGTAGCGTACTTTTTGAACGGCACAATATTGGGCGCTGAGCCGCACGAAGATCTGAATGCGGCACTGATCTCTGCAGGTCCAACAGTTTTTTTTTGCTTCCACTACTCCGCAGCAATCTAGAGCGCTCCATTTTCCTTTGCTGCTGCACTGATCTATCTCCTCAGCACTCTAGAGCGGTCCATTTCTCCTCGCTGCTGCTGCATTGATCTATCCCTGCAGGTCCCAGTCGATGCCTGGACGCCCTGGCCGTCGCTCTAAACCAGGCGCACGGCGACGGTAGGTGGCGGTGCCGGTACACGTCGACCAAGCAGGCACAGCTCGCGTCTCTGAGGCTTTGCGCGACCTTCCGCAGGGTGTCGATGCTTCACTTACGAGTAGAGCCCGGCACTCCGAGGCATCTGTGGGCCCGCGCGACCACGTGAAGCGGAAGACACTAAGAGGTGCAGGATTTCGCGCGTGCCAATGGCAAGGTTGCGCGCGGTTAGGTGGAGCTTGCCGGGTTCGGAGCTGAAAGGTAACAGCAACAGCATCTGTGATGCACTGTAAAGGGTGGAGCAATATCATTTCGGCATCCACTTCAACGATGACGTCAGTCGGGTGAAATGGCCCTCGAATCTGAAGAGGGTTGGATTCGGCGACCACTTCAACCGGTCGGTGAACCGACTGTCTCTGCCTGCGTCCGTGCGATCAATACACTTCGGGTTCGACTTCGAGAAGACGCTCACGAAGATGGAGTGGCCTGCATCGCTGCAGGAGCTCTTCCTGTCTTGCCGTTTCAAGAACAGCATCAAGGGCGTCGTGTGGCCGAACTCGCTGCGGAAGCTGCATTAGAGCGGTGATCTCAAGACGAGAACGCCGCTGGGTGGGATCCCGTGGCCGGCATCGCTGCAAGTTATGCGGACTGGTTGCATGCGCAATGAGCCGATTGATGAAGTACCGCTGCCCAGGTCCCTGAAACAGCTCACTGTTGTCAAAGGCTTCAACCGGCCTATAGGCCAGGTCGAATGGCCGCGGTCGTTGGAGTACTTGGGATCTGGGACTAGAATTCGACCAGTCTTTGGACGGGGTTATTATGCCCAGGTCGTTGCGATCTTTGACCTTGGGGCCACACTTTCACCGCCGCATCGATAAGTAAGGTAGTCTGGCCACCGTCGTTGCAGCAGCTGACCTTCCACTCCAACTTCCAGCACTTTGCTGGTGAGATAGCGTGGCCGTCCTCGTTGCTCGAGATGTTCCCCTGGGACAATTTTCGGCGGGCTGCGGATAACGTGCTGCTCCCGGTGTCGCTGCAAATGCTTGAGTTTCGGGTGTAACTTCAACAGCGCCGTCGACACGGTAGCTTGGCCGGCATCGCTACTCGAGCTGAACTCTGGTGTTTTGTTCAATCAGAGCCCATTGATAACGTTGCGTGGCCGGCGACCCTGCAGACGCTATTATAACAGCTCTAGGGCGGGACTTCAACCAGCCCATGCGTAAGGCCGCGTGGCCGGCGTCCCTGCTCCAGTTGTCCTTCGGGCAGCTGTTCAACCAACCGGTAGACGATTTTTCTTGGCCGCCGTCCCTGCAAGAGCTTCGTTTCGGGTGCGGCCCTGCTTCTCGTGCGGACCAAAAGCACTTGGGGACCTTGACCACCTACGCCATGATGGGCGACGGCTCTGACTTCGACCAGCCGATAGATAAAACCGCGTGGCCTTCGTCGCTCGCGCGGATTACCTTCGGGCCGTGCTTCAACCAACCGCTAGACGGCGTCTCCTGGCCGGCTTCGCTTCGGCAGCTGGCCTTTAGCCGGGACTTCTGCCCGCCCCGCGAGGGGTTCGAGTGGCCGGCGTCCCTGGAGCGGGTGACGGTCGCTTGCCCACCTGAACGCGCCCGGCCGTCGTGGCACGGGGTGCAAGTTTTCGGGGTGTGGAGTGCGTGGTGGAGTTTTCAGGTAATAGCAGGGCGTTCTTGGTGAATCGGCCGAGGGGTGCCTTGCAAGCGCTCGGGATGTGGGGCGGCTGGTAGGAAACTTATCGACTTGTTAAGTAGGGCTTGCTTGATGTAAGGTAGTTGTGCCAGTCTTAGAAGTTGTCGAGTGTCTGGTCGTGGGACAGTTGTCGGCGAATAGCGGAGCGTGCTTGGTGAATCGGCCGAGAGGTGCGTGAGTCTTTCGGGGATGATGTGGATTTGCTGGTTTGTGGCGGAGTTATCGGCTTTGAATTGCATTGCTTGATGTAGGTTTGCCAGTCTTCGCGATGTGGAGTGTCTGATGGTAGGAAATGTGTCGGCTTGTTTTATGGCAGGGCTTGAGCTTGGTGAATTGGTCGAGGGGCATGGAAGTTTTCGGGATGGGGAGCGGCTGGTGGTAGGAGAGTTGTCGGCTTGCGAAACAGCAGGCCTTTTTCTTGGTGTTTGGGTCGAAGGGAAGAATGGGTAGGTGAAGACCGGGCTCCAAATAGCGGGGAGACCAACAGCGTGACGATGCGCTTGAGTAGTTGTGGGTTTCTACAATGTATATCGTCTCTAGCTGTAACATGTTGCGTGCAGGGAGCACAGGTAGGTAGGTGCTGATGTTGATGTTCAAGCTATCTCAGAGATGGGTCAACATTATAGGTTGACGGTCAGCAAGTGACTTCGTCCCGTCATACATGACATGTGGGAGCAAACAAGAAATCTGGTCACTCACGGAGATGCGTTCTTTTGTGATTCGCGAAAACCACTAAAGGCTCGCATGAGACGCGGCCTGGTGCAAGCAGTGGCAGTACTGGAACACGTTTTGCCCTTGTCCTCTACAGTACGTTCACGCGAGGGAGCGAAGAATCCACCGCCGTCAGAAATCGAAAGGAGTTTCCCTACGAGCGCGTGCCTTCCAGATATCCACAAACACACGGGGCAGGCCCTCTCATTCATTATCCTGAAACGTCGGGAGACGCGGACGTCACTCTTCTGAAACGTCGGGAGACGCCGACGAAACCGTCCAGGCTTACGTGACGTTGGCGAGCGAACAAAGACCCGCTGTCAGAGATCGAAGAGAGTTTCCCCGCAACCTCTCGCGCGGTATTGTAGGAGGAGCGCCGCGCGGACCCTCCAGGTATCCAGAGACGAGTGGACGGACGGACCCGCTCGCTCTCCGGTGGCGTGGAGATGCCGCCGAAACAATACACGTGAGCGAGTGAACAAAATCATCCAAAAACACATTCAAAATTCCAGCTGCTGGACCTGGTATGTGTCGGAGCAAAGGCCTCCTTGGTAGTTCTTTTGGTCTTATGATTTAGTAGATAGTTTTAGAAGGCTCTACCTAATCTGTCCCGCCTGTCCACCCACAAAAACAAAAAGAGGTCCTGTGTAGGCGAGTGAATGAAGACGAACTACGCTACACCGTCGAGGCCGCCGCTGTGGCCGCTTGCTGCCGCCAGGATTGGCCACTATCTTTGACGTTTGTTGCCGAAACAAAGGCAAGCGTATCTTCGTAAAATAAATTACGCGCCTTTTCTCAGTGGTGTGTTTGCCAGCGGCCCTGTCCCGCCGCGGTGCCAAAGCAGTTGACCACCCTCTGGTGTCTCCACCCGCCCCCGCCCCATCCCGACTATCCCGGCCAGTGAGCTTCTCACGCCCAGGCAAAGAGCAGAGCAGTCTTTATGCCCGATGCCGCACAGCGACATTCTCGCCGCTTCCAACTCGAAAGCGTCTCAAAAATAAACTCCGTCCTTAACTATCGTGGCTGCACGCCACACGCTCGAAAGTGTGTCTCAAAAAAACACCTCGTCCTTGTCATCGTGGCTACACAACACACGCTCGAAAGAGTGTCTCAAAACAAAAAAAAATCGTCCTTGTCATCGTGGCTGCACAACACAGGCGCAGCCCTCACCCAACAACAACACGGTCTGATGCGCCTGTGCGCCCGCGTCTCTGTCGTTTGGTCGATCTACTGATGTATGTAGAACGTCTACTTGAGGTTGGTGCACCACTCGTGGTTGGCGACCTCGTCGTTGCACTCCTGCTCGATCTGGGGGTACTTCTTGAAGATATCCGCCACCGTCGTCTGTCAGCGGCAAGGAGGGAAGGGGTTCCGGTGAATAATTCAAGGGTTAGGGGTGGGTGGGGAGGTGGTAACATAGCAGTGGATTTGCGGGGTTTTGGGGGAATGAGGAGGGGATTGCTCAGCGGTGAATTCAACGTCGGAGGGGGTTACATGGCGAATTCAGGGGTTCGGGGGGATAAGAAAGGGGGTACACAACAATGAATTCAGGAGTCTGGGGGGTTGAGGAGGGGTTGCATACATTGCGGTGGATTCAGGGGTTGTGGGGGGGGGTTAGAAAACACGAATCTAAATAGGGGGTTACCCATCCATGAATTACAAGCCTACAGTTTGCTTACCACCGGTGGCAACGACCCGCCTCAATGCCTCTCAATTGATCCGGAGAGTCTGCATTGTCTCATGGGTGGCCCACTCTCGTCATCTAAATGAAGTTAGCACGGCATGCGATCCGTGTCTACCTCCTGCCTTCCGCCGGCGTGAAACCGACACACGTGATTACTGTAAGAGGCGGAGAGATGGCACCCCCCCCTTAGGCCGATTTTCAAAAGCTCGATTGCTCCACGACCAAGCTTGGTACCAATACCAAACATGGGTGGTTTTGGAAACATCTCGTTGAGGGTTTTCCGTAGACCTGTGTGGCTCTGCCCGCACCCCCTTGGTTGTGGAGCAATCGAGCTTTGAAAATCCGCCTAGGGGGGGGGGGGCATCTCTCCGTCTCTTACAGTATACTTCGTACAAAGTATATCTCAGCAGAGCTTTGCGCACGCTCTTCAACAAGCTGCTGCTGCTGTTGTGTAGGCTTGATTCGTGTAGAGCAAGCACAACGATATGTTTACTCCTGCTGCTGCTGCTGCTGCTGCTGCTGCTGTTGCTGTTGTGTAGGCTTGGGTCATGTAGAGCAAGTACGAGGATATGTCTATTCCTCTTGCTGCTGCTGCTGCTGCTGCTGTTGGTGTAGGCTTAGTTCATGCAAAGCAACCACCGGGATACTGTACATCCTTACCTGGTCGTTGGTCATGTTGTTCTTGAGGAGTTGCTCCTTGTCCGCTAGCGCAACCACCTTCGCCTCCGTGTTGCCCGTTTGCGCAGCCGCCAGCTGTTGTAAAAAAAAAAATAAGAGTGCGCCTCAACATGGTCACATGTTGACGTGCACTAGAGGTGCATCAGCCGTACCATCTTGCTGGATGTTATGCAACGCATGTCCACAACACAGAAAAACACACACAAAAACAATACGACGCCGACCGGGGAGCTTAAAAAACATTTTTCGATAAGCACACAGAGAACACCAGTTCGAGATATACGAGACGACAAAACAAATACTTCGTAGACGGCACAGCACAGAGCAGTCGAAAGAGATGTGCTCAAGTATTTTCAGTGAGTGGAGGAAACCGGCTGGAAGCTGGGCTGATTCCGTTTTCATTGTTGCAATTTTGCACGCGCGACAACTTTTTTCGAACAAACAACGGCATTGGTGGGTGAGGAGCGACAAAAGCTGGCAGTTGCCATCACTGGTATCATTCAGTGTATAGGCTAAAAACAGACTCAAAATGAGCCCAGTTTCCAGCCGGTTTCCCTCCACAACTGAAGAGACTTGAGCACACTCCTTCTACTGTATGTGGTTACTTCTCGAACGGGTGCTCTTCCTGTGTGTTCATGCATATTTACTAGACAATGCCAAGCGGTCGTCGTGGCGTGCAGTCCTCTGCGCTGAAAACCAAACAGAACAGCGGCCAAACGGATATACAAAGCCAGGTGCACGATTGGCCCTCAAACTCTCCCCGCACTTCACCCCGTACATTCTTGGCGTAGAGAGTCGCCGATAAGACAATATACAGACGTTGTTTCCTTTTTGGTTTGATGGGGTTCGCTCGGCTGTTCGAGTGAAAAATACGTCAGCACTGTGTGAGCTGTTGAGCTGTTGAGCTGTTGAGCTTGGGAAGCGTCAAAACCGACAGCTGGCAGCCAGCTGTAGGCTCGTTCTGCTCCTGTTTCGTTTCGGCTTGCATCACCCCCCTGATGACACCGCTGTGCTCTCAGGAGCCCACTCCAGAGGGACCCATCGGTATGTCGTCTCCACAGTAAAAAAACCTTCCGGTCTACCGTAGGTTGCGTAAGATATCACGCACCCTCGACCGAATGTTAAAGCCTGATTACTCGGCAGGGAAAGCAGTGACGGTGCCGAAAAAATCGCGGAGTTGGAACCGTTCCGTCGAGACGAACACGTATCGTTTGCCTCCGGCATCCTCTTTGTCATGGAGTAATCGAGGAGCTTTGAAATCGGTCCAGGGAGTATGGTATCTCACGTCATGCAATCCTACGGTGCGCCCCTCTGTCCGTGCTGATCTAACGCTTGACGCGCTCGATTCCTTTGGTCGCAGGCGAATTTACCCTAAGAAGGTTTTTCCAGAAACCCCGAAGAGTCCGCACACACCAATAGAAGAAACAAACGATGCATCACGTATATATATATGCGTACCTGGGCAGTGTTTCCGTCGAAGAGCTCCCCGTACGTCTTCCAGCTACCCTCCCAGTCGATGTCCTTGGGGTCCCCCACCGCCACCGGCTTCATCATCATCTCTGGTGCCTGCATACATACAGTATACAGTACACGAGCACACAGAAGACCCAGGGATCGATCCACACGAAACCACGCGCTTATTCGATACACTCGCGGTAGATTTCGCCGCTCAAGACCCGCCGACTAGCTACCTGCAGACGACCACAATTCGGTTGCCGGGTCATCTTGTTCATGTGACTAGAACACCAGTAACGTATTTTCGTCCGCTGTGTTATCCCTGCCTACAGTAGATGCTGCGCACTCCTAGCCTCCGGCTGCAACAGCCTGAACAAAATCAGTTCGTTTGCCAGGCCGTGTCTTGTGTATTGTCTGACTATTTACCAGCATACCTTACGTACGTCCGCTTCGTTCTTACTCACGTACGTCCGGGCACGGGTACCAGTACAGTAGCGGTTCGATACATCGCTGTGTGTAGGGACGAGACAATATCACCGCGCTATTACCGGGACCGGCGCTATTCGGGACCGCGATATATCGGAACCACTGCTGCCTAACAAGTGTATAGTTTGTGTTTCGGGTCGCTTTGTCTTCATTCTTCAAGCGCCACATTTCCAGCGGGGCTGCTCTCAGGCCAGCATTCCGGATTTTCGGCCGCTCACCACCGTGGTATATGCTACATACGGACGTCCGGTTCGTTCCTGTATCGTTACCTCCGGCGCGGGCATGGCGACCTGCTTCGTGGACTCGTACTCCTCCTGCAGCTTTGCGATGGTCGGGTGGTTCCCGAAGAACTCCTTGTAGCTAGCCCAGTCGATCGGCTCCGGCTGCTTGGAGTACTTCTCGTGCATCGCCTGTGGACACCGCCAAGATAGAGAGAAGGCGGGGGGCGGGGGGGGGGGGGGGGGGAAGGAATTTCCTTTTTTGATT